TAGATGAATACACCATTGCCACTAATGTTTTAGCATTAGGTGGAAGGTATTTCTGCTACACAGAAAGGATCTTTTACAAGACAAAACACTGTGCATTATTTGTTCATTGTAATAGGTCTGATCAGAATTTTGATTTAAAGAATTCAGATATAATTAAAGAAAGAAGTAATCTTAGGTAAAAATTTATTGAATCTGCACCAATTTGGGAATCTTCCACAGTAAATTTGCATCCAATATTACAGAACATATTTTCTTTCCTAGCAAAACTACTAGTGCTAGGGAGATGTTAAGGTTACCCTACTCTTACTCTCTGTGAGGTATTTTGAAGTTACCTTCTTCAAGCCTTTGCCTAAAGTGGGCAGGACCTACAAGGTAGAAAGAAAGTTTGAATTCAGAGTTTCCTTCTCTCAGACTGGTTACCAGCCAAGGCTAAATATCCTGTTATTTTACCCAGAACTGGAGGAGAACTAAAAACTTTAAAAACAATAACAATAAAAATAACAAAGCTAAATAAGGTTGGCTAGGTGACATGTCAAGAAAGCTGGACGGTGCTGGCTAGGTTATGCATCGAGAAATATTCGAGATCAAATTTTCTTTTAAATTTAAACTAAAACTTAAGTGCCCTTATATCTTCAATACATAATATATGTATGGCAAACATGGACCTTCATGCTCGCATTGTCAAAAAGAACAGTTTTTCCCAGGACAGCTCTTTTTTTTAAAACTGCCTTCACTCCTCGACAATGTTTGTCTTAAAAAGCAGTGATTAGAATTGGAATGGTTCTCAAAAAAGGCTAACGCCAACTGATTTGAAAATTATAAAATGCTAAATAAGGATTTCTTTATAGTTGTTTAACATTTTAATAATTTAGTAAAATGTTTATAAATTTATGAATAAAAATGGTTTTCATATTTATTTCTTGATAAATTGTTAAATAATAAATATTGCATTGTATTAGTTTTTAGAATGATGAAAATATAAAATTATTCTTGTAAATAAACAATAGTGTTTAATATATTTGTTCTAAATTGTCAAGAGCAAAGAAAAAAAAAGTTAAATGTATAACTTCACTTTTATCATATGTTTAGGTTTTATTACAATTCTAATCATCAGTTTTTAAAACAAACTTTGCCAAAGAATGAAGGTTGTTAAAATAAAAGTAGTGTCATGGGAGGGGAAAAAATATCATCCTTTTGACACTCCATTTTATTGTGGGCATGAAAGTCTATGTTTGCCACACACACACAAGTATATGATTGGTGTATACAGAATAAATTCTAATAGATTTTCTAAATGTTACCTTCAACCTAACAAAAGGCACATATAAACCATACAGAAAACCCAATGATAAACCACTCTACATACACACATCTTCCAACCACCCGCTTTCTATAAATCAAACAGATAACAAAATCTATTAACCACAGGCTTTCCGACAATTCCTCCAATGAATCCATATTTAACAAAGCTAAGAAAGACTATGAAACAGCCCTAAAAGATAGCGGATTCCCAGCAACACTCACATACTCACTACAGAACACAAAAAAGGCCAACAGGAAAAGAAATATCATATGGTTCAACTCACCGTACAGTAAAAACGTAAAAACAAACGTAGGAAAAATATTCTTCAAACTCTTACACAAACACTTCCCAGAATCAAGCACCTTACACAAGATATTCAACAAAAAACACAGTAAAAAATCAGCTACAGCTGCACGAGAACATGGCACAAATAATAAAAAGAGCACAATAGGAAAATTATCAACAAACCACATTTAACAAATTAAACTCACGTGCAACTGCAGAATAAAGAACAAATGTCCCTTAAACGGAAATTGTTTACAAAACAACGTAATATACCAAGCCACGATAAAATCACCAGATAATGAAGAAAAAGTATACATAGGAGTAACTGAAGAACCTTGGAAACAAAGAAATTATACACACAAAACATCTTTCACAAATAGTAAATATGCAAACAGTACAATGCTTTCTAAGTATATCTGAGAAATTAAAAACAAAATGCACATCACACCAAAAATATCTTGGAAAATAAGGAAAAGATCATCAGCCTACAACAACTAATCAAAAACTTCAAAACTTTGCTTGGAGGAAAAATAGCTATCATTACTTTCCCAGACCAAAATAAATTATTAAATAAAAGATCCGAAAGCTCATCTCAAAAATGCAGACATGAAAACAAATTTTTACTACGTTACTTAAAAATTGAAAACGGAAAAAATAAAATAAAAACAAATAAACAAGTAAACAAAATAACAATAAAATAGGCAAAATTAATTAATCAAAACAAATTACCAAATCACACCTGTTAAAATAGACGAAATAGAATAACAAAAAACAACGAACCCAAATAAATAAAGTAAATAATAAACAAAGTAGCAATCCATTATACTTAAAAATCAAACCAAAAAAAAAAAAAAAAGACGAAAAAATAGCTATAACTGTTATATAACGATAAAAAATAAAATAAAATAAAAATAGATACTACATTACTAAAAATAAAAAATCGAAAAGAGAAAATATACAAGTAAAATAAATTGACCTAAATTCATCCAAGTAAATAAATAAACAAACCAATGCCGATAAAGTTATCCTTAGAAAAAACAAATAAAGATAATCAACAAATAAACCAAATAAACACAAATTAAAAACTGTTCCTGCCAAAATAATAGTTAGAATAAACCAACCCCAAAACCGAACAAATAACTTTAATTAAATTCTCAAACCAAAACAAAACTATTAAATAAGTGATATAAACAAATTTTTACTATGTTAATAAAAACACCGATTAAAAAAAAAAAAAAGTAAATAAATAAATAAAATAAGAAACAAAAAATAAAATTAAATAAAAACAAGTAAAATAATTTAACCCAAATAAATAAATGACTTCCGTTAAATAACCGCCATAATAGACTACCCACAATGTACCACTGACCCATATATGTATAGATAGCCGAGAAAAATAACAGCACACGTGGCCTGACGATTGCATATAACATGAAACAGACTGTCGCCTCTAAGTGTTGACTTCTATGTTCACTTTTATATCTACACACGCTCTATCTCTGATATTGAGCACTTTATCCCATAAATATAGCACACCTTAAGACTATATATTTTCATATATATATATATATATATGTTTATGTATAGTTTTTGTAATAATAGTGTTTAATATCAAGAGATACAGGATTAATAAATATAAATAAAGCACTGTTTATTTAATGAAAATAAATAAATATACAGTTTAATAAAAAAAAAAAAAAAAAAAAAAAAAAATGTAGCATATACCCAAATATGGGTATCCACTAAGAATAACATTTAAGTAATAAAATATGTCTGATTAACAAATCAAAAAAAAAAAAAAAAATAATTTCTCTAGAAATTACAAACAGCCACATGATCGAAGTTTGAGTTTGTACCAGTTTTCTTGCTGCTGTTACAGTGCAAACATGGCCACTCTACTAGCAGTGTGCACCAAGGAGGAACAATGAGCAGTAATTCGATTTCCTTGATCAGAAGATGTGTCAGAGGCTGAAATTCATTGGAGGCTTTTAACACAATACAGCAACAGAGCATTACCACATAGAATTGTGCACGAGTGGATAAAGAAGTTTTAAAAGTGGCCAGTCAAGCATGATGCACAAAGGAGCAGGACGCCTGTCAATATTCACCACTGATGAGAAGATTCAGCAAGCTTGAGGGATGGTAATGGCAAACCAGCAAGTTATCAGTGATGAGGTAGCATGTTCACTGCAGATTGAGATCACTGATCTTCGTACCTCCTTGGCACAAACTGTTAGTGGAGCGGTCATGTTTACATTGTAACAGCATCAAGAAACCTGGTGTGATCAAGCTCAAACATTGATCACGTGACCACAACTGTACCAACTATAAACCTGCATGAGCAGAAGGCAGTGTGGCAAACCTAAAGCCATGTTATGATGAAAGTGCAGATAATTTTCAAATTACCCTTTGAGATATATATTAATATATATATATATATATATATATATAACTTTAAACAATGTATTTAAAACTGGCCAGACAAGTGAGATGCACAAAGAAGGAGCAGGGTGGCCATCAACCTCCATCACTGATGAGAAGATACAGCAAGATCAAGAGATGGTAATGGTAAACTGGCAAGTTATTAGTGATATAGCATGTTCTCAGCAGATTTGGATTACTTGTCTTTGTTCCTTCTTGGTGCACACTGCTAGCATAGCATCCATGTTTACACTGTAACAGCAGTAAGAAAAATGGTGTGATAAAGCACAAACTTTGATCATATGACCACAACAGTACCAACTATAGCACACATGAGCAGAAAGCAGCGTGACAAACCTAAAGATGTGATGAAAATGCAGATAATTTTTTTTACTTACCCTCATACAGCACAATACGGCAACAGAGCATTACCGCAATGAAATTGTATCAAGAAGTTTTAAAAGAGGCCAGTCAAGCATGATGCACAAAGGAGCAGGACGCCCGCCAATATTCACCAATGATGAGAAGATTCAGTAAGCTTGAGAGATTGTAATGGCAAACCGGCAAATTAACATTGATGAGTAGCATGCTCTCTGCAGCAGATTTAGATTACTGATCTTTGTACCTCCTTGCTGCACACTGCTAGCAGAGTGGTCATGTTTACACTGTAACAGCAGCAATAAAAACTGGTGTGATTAAGCTCAAACTTTGATCACATGACCACAATAGTATCAACTATAAGCCTGCATGAGCAAAAAGCAGTGTGACAAACCTAAAGATATGTTATAATGAAAGTGCAGATAATTTTGAATTACCCTATATATATATATATATATATATATATATATATATATATATATATATATATAACTTTAAACAATATATTTAGTTGATACACTATTGTTTAAACTGTAATTTATGTCTATCACCTTGTGCATTAAAGAGTCTTAATAAAGAAAATGTGGCTTTCAGCAGGGTTTGCATTTATGGCAATATCATATTAAAACACCGGTTCTCATACCAAAGTTAAGCAATGTTGGGCCTAGTCAGTACTTACATGCATGATCACTTGGGAATACCAGGTGCTGTATGTTTGGACGTGCAGGTGGTATAATAATGGATAATGGTTCAGAATTGAAAATTGGAGTGCCAAGTTCCAATTCTAGTTGAGCTCATTATATTCACTTATATGCAAATATTCTTGGGAAAGGGTATAAATCCACCTCCTCTCTCCCCAGCTCTGAGTTAAATAGTAGGTCTTGTATAAATAAATCATTACCTCCAAAATGTTCTTACAATCTAAAAATATTTTTTGGTTTTAAATAACCTGTAAAAGGTTGATAAACCATGAAAAATCAATTAATCCAACAGAATTTGAACCCGTTTTCCTTGTTGGGGAAACCACTGTCAAACCCAGTATACTTTTAAACCACACAGCCACTGAAAGCTTACAGTCAAAGTTCAATTATCTTATTCACTAATAATGTTCACATTTCTTATATCTACTCTGAGCTTCACAGAGATTGTATCCACTCATTGGGCTTGATTTATTAATAATTTCGTTGTTGATAATATATTTATAACAAAACCTGTTTAACAAATAAAAGAAGCATCTACTCAAGTGTAACTACTAAAAAAATAACATTTAAGTAATAAGATGTGTGTGTGTATTTAGTGTAGTGGTTATTGTCATGGAAAGCAAGACTGGATAGTAGAGTTCAAATTCTAGGTGAGGCAGCTGCATTTGTTTCCACACAAATGCCCCATGGAAAGGCATGAATCCATCTCTTTTTTTCCCCTCCTCATAGGGATTAATAATAGATCAGACCAAGCCCTATAGCCTTGGTTGGTAACCAGCCTAATGAAAAAGCAACTGAATTCCAAACCGTTTAGGCATGGGGTGAGTAACTACATGTTCATAAAACCCTACTTGTTACAGAAATCAAATCAGCAACGCTTACTGTAGTGAGGCTGTGGCCCTGTAGGTTCAACCTGAGCATCTACAGTAATTACAAACACTTTTTTACAAATTTGCTATACTTATGAAAGAAGAATGCTCAATATACAGAGATAGACTGCTTGTAGATATAGACAGTGTGGACATGGCATGACGATTGTGTGAGGCATGAAAACTGTCACCATACAAAGTTGATTTCTATGTCTGCACTGTCCAACCTCAACAGAGTTCAAAAATGATTGTGCTGCTTTGTGGGTGATGAACTTTTCTCCACCTGGCAAACCTTACCCACAGGCAGAATGTTGCTAGTCTCTCACTTGGTCAGTTACGTGCCCCGCGCTTAGGCGATCACATATCTTTCGATACACGACTGACGAAGCAGATTTTTTTTTCCGCAGTAGGTTGACATTTCTTTCTGCGGTAGACCAGTTGCCATCCAAGGCTGTAGAACCCGGTCTGTTCTATTTTACCCATAGATGGGGGGGAGAAGATTTCCCAAGCATGTATGTGCTTTCCTTAGCATGTAAGTGAATGTAATGGATTCAACTGAAATTCGAACTTGGCTCCCTGATTCCTCAATTTGAGCCAGAGAGCCAAGTTCTAATTCCAGTTGAATCCATTACATTCACTTATGTGCTAATACCCTTCCTACTCTATAGTTACTATGACAAATGGTCAGGAGTTACATTGCTTAATTCCATCAGCTAGCCCCCCATTCTATATTCATGGTGACAAATCATCGTAATTCTCTTCATGCTCTGTTGATAAGGAGTAAGTCCCATTCAGATTCTTCCTGGAACTGTTAATTGGTGAAAATTTTTCCAAGAAGATGATTCCCTGACAACTTCTTGTAAAACACAGCAAAGGGTGTATTGAGGCTGGGGGGAAATACCTAACTGATTGCTCTCTCAAGAACTATGAGGTAACAGGCAGAGGGGTGGGAAGGAGACGGGCAGAAACAAAAACAATACGGCCTCAGAAATCACATCACAGCACAGCAAGTGACTTGAGGAACAAAATGTCCTAGGGACCGACTTCACAAGACCCGAGCCTCACCAACTGCCTTCTGCCAGGATTTCGCATCGCTTTTATTGACAGGGAGACAGCCGACAGAAACCCAAATCTGAATATGTTAAGCACTTCTGCTGCTAACAGGTAAAAACCCAGGTGTAACTGATTTTGACAGACATGTTCACAAACAATCCGGAGCTATTTGTGTCTGTACTGACGTGCATCCCCCATGCAACTACAATCTTGGTCTCTTTAAGCCCAGGGTCAATGAATGTCTATCCTACACATCCTCATAATGTACACTTCTTGATACCTCCTTTCCCCTCTGTTACAACAATCTTGTTCAGTAGCCCTCTACTTTGAGAGTCTCTTAAGCCTTGTATTGGATGAACTAACAAAAAAATTTTTAAAAAAAAATATAATGGATATCTTAATGTCAGGAAATCATTTAAAAAGGTAAAAAAACAAAAATAAAAAAATGTGGAATTTTCAGAATTTCTCTTTTTAGAGATAATAATGTTCTAGTGATTCAAGTCCTACAAATTAACCCATAGCTGGAGGGAGATGTGGATTCATGCCTTTCCCAAGGGTATTTGGATGTAAGTGAATATAACTTACTGAAAATTAGAATTCAGCTCTCTGATTAACAATTCCGAGCCATTATTCATTACACCATTGCACATCCAAGCTCACAGCACCTGGTATTTCCAAGTAGTCACCCATCTAGGTACTAACCAGGCATGATGTTGCTTAAGTTTGGTGATTGTACAAGAACTGGTGTTTCAATGTGATGTGGTTGTAAGCCATAATTCTGTGTGGATTCTGAGAATGCAAATATGATTCTGTAATAAGCATACGGAATGTAAGTGAATTTGCTTATTACTGGTTGTTTTGACTTTATGTATATAACTTCTAAAATTTGTAATCACTTTATTTTTTTTATGTTCGTTTCACTGATCATGTCATTATTCACACAGGTTTCTTGCTGTCAAAATTATTGTTAATAGATCATTTACAGGCCAGGACCCCTGAATTTGTAGTCTTATGCCAGACTAAATGAGACTGGACATGGAAATATAAAGAAAAATTATTCTGCTGTGTTTATTTACACAATAATCAAAAAGGTACTGCAAACAGAAATAAGCACTTTTTCTTTCATACTACCATAGATTAATCATGCCAGACCAAAGTTTGGTTTAATGGCATATCAACTCCTTATGGGTCATTTAATGCCAAAATTTAATTTTCTTGGGAGCTTTGGTAATATTTTTTTTTTTTTTTTTTTTAAAATACAAAAACATTTTTATACTTTCATAATGTTTTGCCCCAGTTTGGGGGTTTGCTATTTGCGCATATCTGGGATACCTACAGGTGGTACCATCCCACTCCAGACCAAGAATATCAAATTATATATTTTTAAATTTTATAAACATGGGGGTCCAGTTTGCTATGTAAATTCAATGTAAATTGATCCCCCTATGGAAACCAAAACAAAATATGTTTATACCATGCAAGCTTACAGCCACATCACACTGAAATGACAGTTCCCATATGATCACCAAAGCTAAGTAACATCTTGCCTGGCCGGCAGTACCTAGGGTAACTGCTTGGGAATACCAAGTGCTGTAAGCTTGGATGTGCAGCTGGTGTAATGGATAACGGCTCAGAATTGTTAAATGGAGAGCCAGGTTCAAATTTCAGTTGGGTTTGTTATATTCACTTATGCATAAATAAGTTTGGAAAAGGTATAAATCCGCCTCTTCTCCCCTCACCCATGGGTTAATTTGTAAGACTTGTATTACTAAAATCATTGTTATCTTAAAAAAAAAAAAAAAAAAAAAAAACTGAATCTAAAAATATTTACTGGCTTTAAATAACCTGCATTGGGTTGATAAACCATTGAAAAAAAATTAATCAATCATACCATGTAATTTTTTTAATATCGTAACCAGGAGTGTTTAATCGACAGTAATATGAAAAATAGAATGCCAGATTATGAAGTTAAAAATTTATTATTTTTTAATTTTAAGAAATAATTAATAAGTATATTTTGTCTCGGCTTCCTTGGGGGGGATAAATGTGGTTCTACAGAAGGATCCTTGACTGAACACGTGAGGAACGATGAAGCTTTACAGAAGTTTGGTGATGCCTGGGGCCCAACTCCTTGATTGTATACCCCTCAAGTATGGCCTCGTACTGAGAAATGGGAGAAAGGAAGATATTTTAAATATGTAGATGCATGAAATAAACACTAAATTTTTTATTTGACTCTTTGATTGGATGCCCTCCCGATATGGAAGCCCAGGGTCATTGCACCTTCTGTCCCCCCCGCCCTGCACGTTACAAAGAGACTGTCAACATTTCTTGGGCACATAAGAGGGTTTGGAAAATTTGACATCCACATGACATACTGTTTACAAGAGCAACAGAGGATAGCAACACATGACCTACCTAACAAGTTTGTTGTGTAAATGGTTGACAGAACAGAGATTCAGTCAGTTTTTCGTGCCATGCGTTATAAACGCTTGTGCGATCATGTATCTTTCGATACATGACAGACGAGGCAGGTTTTTTCCCCCGCAATAGGTTGCCATTTCTTTCTGTGGTAGACCAGTTGCCATCCAAGGCTATAGAACTCAGTCTGTCCTGCTATTTACCCATAGCTGGGGGGGGGGGAGAAGAGGAGGCTTCATACCTTTCCCAAGGGTATTTAGAACTCGGCTCTCTGATTCCTCAATCGGGACCACTATCCATGACGCCACCGTGATTGTTAAAAAAAAAAAAAAAAAAAAGTTTCGCCAAGGGCTACAAAGGACAGGAAGTTGTGGAGAGTAATGATCGCCTTAAATGATCTGATAATTGTTCGGTGCGCTGGGAAAGAGAGTTCACTGGTGCAAAGTTCACATGAACTGCCTCAGCTGGAGATCACGGATACAATCTTTCATTTCCGTATCGACAAACCGATACCTCCAACATTTTAAAACTAAATAAGTAACCGTGTCATTTTAAAATGGTAGAATACTGCTGCTAATTATATCTGTTTTAAAAAAATTATCTTATATAAAAGGACTTTTTCGTTAAGTATAATTAAAAACTAAAATAAAAGGGAAACCCTTTAAAAGT